TTTTCGTTTTACACGATTTTCGATCATCTGTTAAGTCGTCGATAATCACTTGTATTAAATTATTAAGTCTCTATTAAAACTCATCCAGCATAATCCCCTTTATCTGGAAATTTTGTTCATCAATGTACTAATATCAATTACACTGCAATCCACTTTGATTAAATATTCAATATTCCCATGCAGAATTCATTCGTAATAATTTTAATTCCCAGAAATAAAAAATTAAGAACAAAAATATAATAACTTCATGTAATTATGGTCTTCTAATAGGAATAATTTAATCCATTTCTACTAACAAAAATCTCTCGATGGAAAAATCTATTTCGAAAAGAAGAAACAAATATTTACTGCTTAACCTAATGCTTATTGAAACTTGTTCAGCCTAATCTATCTTACACCATATGTTATTTAAACATTCTGTGAATATCTATGCATTTATCATATTTATATTCATAATTTCTGTTGCAATCAGCTTCCAATAATCTTCTAATAGAAATCAATTATAATAAACTTCCAAAATTCTAGAAATCAAAAAATAAATAAAAATAAAACCTATATCTACTTTCCAAAATGTTAATATTCCAATAACAACAGTTTATCCTATATGTACTAACAAAAACATTCTCTTACCAAAAAATTACTTCAAGGAAGGATGATTAGTTCGAATTGAAACGAAAACAAAATTTTGTAAAAGCATTGTAAACTGTATTTTAAAAAAGGGAGGGAAAAGGGGGGAAGAAATTAAAAGTACGTCGGACTGGATTTTTTCGCGGTTTTCGACAAATTTGTGGAAACGGGAATAGAAATCTGAATAACGATCATCTAATCGACTACGAAGCTTCGTGTTGTGCTTTCCGTCTCCAAGCAACACCGCATTGCTGTACAATTCGTCAGAAAGGATGATCGACTGTGCGTCGGGACGATGGTGAAACCAGTGAAACTTACAAGTGAATACACTTAGGATTAACAAGAAATTAACTTTCGAAGGCAATAATAAACAGTAGTGAGCAAGAACACTATTGCGTAAGTATTTCGACCGATGAACCAACTCTGGAGTCGTTTGCGAATTTCAAGCAATATCGCAAAGTTGCTTGCATCACTTTTACGATCGTGTTCGCTAGTAACTATTTTGAAGCTTCCAATATCGTAATTAATTTTTACTTAGCAAATCCGATGTATTTGCAATTCCAATGCAACACTGATATCGACTTGGAATTTTGTTTTTCGTAACTTTTGAGTCACGGATTTATTATGGATTCGCGTTATTTATAGTTTTCGATCTAACGATACAGCCAACTTCTAACAATTTACCAAGAAATATAATTTACGTTGTTTAGTAATTGTACGACCGAATTGAAATGAATTCTGTCTACATAAAACGAGTAACAAAAGTATTGACATAGTATATTACAAATTATTATGGATTCGCGTTATTTATAGTTCTCGATCTAACGATACAGCCAACTTTTAACAATTTACCAAGAAAAATAATTTACGTTGTTTAATAATTGTACGAACGAATTGAAATGAATTCTGTCTACATAAAACGAGTAACAAAAGTATTGACATAGTATATTACAAGAAAATTCACCTATCCACAAGATCCTGATTTTAATTTTTTAATCTGGATGAAACCTTACGAGTACGTACACCATAACAGATCATAGACGCAATAATTATTTCTCCACGTCATATCATTCTAAACAGATGAAATCAGCAATCGAATTTTCAGTAACTTTTCCAAATTTTTAAGTATAATTTTATGATAGCACAAAATACGACAAAACTTCAAAAATCATTCTTGCATTTACATTGGATTATAAATACTGAAACTCTGAGGACCTATTTATCTTGTTTGAAAGGATTTCCAGCCTACAAAAAATGGCTTCAGATAGAACTCATTAGGATCTACATGTACGCAAACTTTTATTAAAATCAAAGCTTCCTGGTTAGGTGAATTTCCTTGGAATATAGTGCGTTAATGCTCGTTTTACTGATTTTCTATGTACGATGCAAAATCTGGAAAAAACGATTACCACTGGAAATCTGAATCGCGTCGGGTGGAAGGTAGCACGTTTTGCCATGATTCGATCGAAGATTTAAACCAGCTACCGTGAGAAATTCAAAAGTTGTACAAAAGCTAGGCTTCTCGACGGCTCTGCTCTTTGAAAAATAATTGCTTTCGAGGGTCCCTTTCACAGTCTGCGATGGTACAAAGCGCGCAGCTGTTGCTCCGAGTCAGCTGACGTGAAAAGTAACCACCTTACTACTAAACAGGGACATTAACACCAAATACCACGTACGCGTTGTGCAATTTTCCCGTTTATTTCCATGCAACGCGAGCAAATCGTGCGAAGAAATTAAAATATGCGAGAATTTGAAATATAAAATAAAGAATCGTTATATAAATAATTCTGTGTATAATAATCCAAAATTGAACGTTATCAAGAATAGAAGGTGACGTGAATGAAGGTTCATCGTTGAGGTGAAAATCGGGACGTTTAAATTTGCCACCTCGTCTTTTACAGTTTGAGATCGACAGTGGCACTGCTGCATTTTACAGAGCATGGTCTATATAGGACTTAAATCGGTCGTATAAGTCGGTATTTAAATTTTAGTGGAGTATACGATAACTCTTGCTGTTAGCTTGTTATTATCTATTCGGTGAAATTTATTTCTACTAGATTTTACGGTTATGATTCTATTAGAGGAACAGTAGCCTCTTCGAACACGTCACGAGTGTTCTTCCAGTACTAGAAATACTTCTCTGCTTGTGAAATTCGTACTACGACGTCTTTCGTCGTTCATTTTGAATTTCTCAATTCCTTAATTTCCAAGCAAAGTGGTTCAAGAAAGCAAAACAGAATTTACGAAAAATTACAACCGAGGGAATCACGAAAACGCGATACAATTAATAAATTTCGAGACAGAGAACCTTATTCCCGCTCCAATCTGATAAACCACGTAGAATTAAGTGTTATAAAGGGATAGCAACCGTATTAAAATTCTGAAACAACTCTGAAAGCGCGTGACTTCAAATAGCCACTGACTCTATTTGCAGAGAATTTTGAAAAATGGAATTACTATATTCGTTGTGCATATTCCCAACTTATTTTACTGGAACAGTTCAAAAATAGATTTCATGCGCACGTGGGTCAAATTGAGGACCGCGGCGGAAAGAGACTCGCAGAATTACTCGGGCTGGTCTCCGCGATTTGCATGCTATTTCCGAAAATAAAATCTCCACTATGAGAAAAACGAAGCAAATGTGGATTTCGACCTCTGTGCACTTCGCTTTGCACAGCGCGATCATCTTCTCCCGAGTAGCTTCAGCTTCGAACACGAGCTTTACATAATATCCGCAAGATCCTCTGCAATTTCGAGTATCAGCACCATCTCACCACGGAAATCCGACGCAAAAATAAAACCAGCAGAATTCACCGAGTTTCCAACGAATCTTTAACATACCATATAAGCGTATAGAAATAAAACGTGAAAGAAAAAGGAACCTTTAACGTGCCTGAAACGTGTCAGATAATATTTTGGTTCGTCGAACGTTGAATTTCAGTTATCTCATCGGTCTGTTGGATATCGGAAACACAAAGTTCATTCACGGTGAAAATTTCTTGCAGTATAATGTAAACATGCCTTTACGAGGAAAAGTCGAACAAGCAAGTGCGATGAATCGATCATACATGGAAAAAGGTGTTTATTCAATAGATAATTGTTTACGTGTTGGCCAAGTGCACATACCTTCTAACGTGCGTATGGGTAATTAGACTAAGATTTTGCGAATCCGATGCTAAAGATATTTCTCTTTTTTACGAGATACTACAAATATGTTCGAAGAATACATTATATCGTACAAAGGTATTTTAAAATACGATATAAAAATAATAAATTCGATATTAAATTCAATGGTAAATTTATAGCGTTGCGTGGAATAGACTATAGGAAATTATACTATGCGAGAATTTACCTCGTATAATACGAATAGTGGAAATAGATTGGAACTTCGATTCGATTCGATTATCCGAAATTATTGTTCCTTCATCCGAATCGTATTATTGTTCCTTCAGCCGTAAAAGAAAGCAAACATACACCTGCCTAAATTGTTTGAACTATACTATAAAGATTGGGAAGATAGAGAGAAAGTTAAACGTACAAGATAAATATGTGACATATTTCTATAAAATATAGAAATAAGTGGTAGAATAGTCTTTCAAATTTTTCAATTCAATCACTATCATAATTTCCGGTATATATAGCACGTTGCGGTATGTTTAGCACGTTGTAGAAATTGTATACGCGAGAATTACCTGTATTCAAAATCAAATATTACCTATATTTGATCAAAATATTACTTAGGTATTTGTGAATTATAAAAATCGAAATTAAAATGTTATATTAATATTTTTTTCTCTATGTAAACATATAGATTACCCTGAATTAAGAATTTATAAGAATACAGCGAATATAGATTTCTATAGATCGAAAAATAGATCGAAGAATACATCGAAGAATAGATCGAAGAATAGATCGAAGAACGCCTATAATCAAAGTATTATTTATATATTTAGCAAACATAAATACAAGAATGAAATTTCCGAGAAATATTTGTTTCTCTACGTAAACATATAGGTTATGTCTGATGGTTAATTTTATCGGAGTACAGGGAAAGACGTAAATTCGTATGGATGGACGAACAGATCGGCACAACGACGTTCGGAAAGCGCGAAACTGGTTCAGGTGTATGATCGATACCCAGCGAAATATCGATTTTTCCCCGAACAGTCGTCTTTACCGAGAACAATACACACTCGACGTCTGGTTTATGACACATTATCCTATTCACATCGCTGCAGGGCTCGCGACGCATTGTGCGAGTGCACGCGTTTACAAAGAAACCACTTTTCCATTCCCATGATTCCCGGTGGACGGGAAACGAAGAGAAAGAAATAAAAAAAAATAAAAGAAAGAAGGCATGGCAAAAGCTTTACCTGATATACTGGATGTATCCGTGTCTGGCGTCTTCGAGGAGGAACCCCGGGTTCCGCATCTCGACGCTCTCGAAGACCATGAAGTCAACACATGCCACGGGCCAGTGATCGTAAACCTCTTTCACGAGTCACGAGATTCAATCATTCGACGAATCTAGACACTGCACACCGGCTCCATGGCTCATGGATTCCTTCACCAACAGTGTTACGAGGAGAAACATCTTACACCATATCCGAAAATTTCGAGCGTTACACGCGAACTGATCACAACAGTCCGTTCCGAATCGACGGTCGGTAAAGAAGAACGGTGTCTCGTACGAAAGACTGAGAAATTTGGTGGCGCGAAGCACGCGATGCCGAGATTCGATAAGGAAACCCGATAAAAGGAGATACAACGTGTCCAGTGAGTGGAAAGAACGAAGTGGAATAGACGTTCACGATTCGACGTACGCGAGGCAACTGAAGTGCGAAGCAAATCGTCCAACAGTGGGAGTCCGGTTATCCCTCTCCCACCCTGCACTCGACCCCCTCTATCCGTGCCACGGCGACCCTAACCTAACCTACCGGACCGAAATGCGAGTCGGTCGATCGAGGAAAGCGTGGAAGCATGGAAAACGGAGGGAAGGACGTGTTCCATGGCACCATAACACATTTCCGCCCTCTGTTTACGATTCTCTGTGTATACAATTTCTCCGCGCATGCGTGCCGCTCGTACCTTTGTCCCTTATCTGCTGGTCGTTTGTTTCTTATCGTAATTTAGGATGAATCGAGATGTTCGCTCGAAAGTAGGGGATAAGCTCGCAAAATGTAGATAAGGAGAAATGGGACTCGATGGGAGGCAGGAATTACCACCTACATTTGTCACGGCACATAAAAACGTCTATTTATTCTTCTATTTTCGGCTGTCTCGTTCCTGCGGATGCACAGAAACACCAAGTATGCGGGAGATGGAAGAATTTATGGAAATTCTAACCTAATCTAAAAAATATTCAACAGTATGCGCGTTCACTTAAATATAAAGTTAATTTTTAATTATATGATATATGGATACTATATTCGAATATACATATATAATATCGTATTATAGTACTTTACTAAAATTCCATAGAATACGTACGTGTGTTACTATAATACTATTATGAACTTTGCATTTATTTTCCACTCTAATTTAATTCTCGAATGGACAAATTAAATTTAACGAAAAAATCCGATGTAAATTACTAAGGAATTAAAAGTAAGAAATTATTCGAGTAGAATCGAATATTTTTATCTATCACGAGTTGCTCCGATATTGTAATTGCAAAAATAGACTTTCGAGCAACATTTCCTAACAATTAATAATTACTAATTTAAATACTTCGCGAATATCGAATATATCATAAAAATTGAATCTTCGTTAATTTCATACGTTTCCAATCTATTAATACTCGAAAATAATACGTCCTATTTTACAATTAACAATAATAATTAATCAGGAAATTTGTTTTGAAATACCGCTATTATAATATTACTAAACGCACTGCAAATTATTTAATTAACCACTAGACCAGATGGAAACAAACGGTAAAATGTATATCATCGATTCGCAGTGTTTTCATCTGCGTAGATACAAAGGAAGACCTTGAGGATTTTCTGTCATGCGTTTCACCCTCGAGGGAACACCAGTCTAGAGATTTCAGATATACGCAGCCATAGTCTTTTTTCTCTCCTTGTACATGTACATATCCATTCACAATCACAAAAGCCCGTATCTGCGAAGGCGTAAAACCTCTGCCTGTATTTTTCTCTCCTCTCTCTCTCTCTTTTTTCCTTTTTTTAATTTCATCACCAGACGGTGACCCGCCAAAAATTTTTACCAGCCGATGAACGTAGACAAAGGAGTACTCGTCTGATCGTTAACTCGATCGCTAATCCACTCACCCGCACGGCGTCGTCTGCTGCGTTTCCCTCTTTTCTCTCCCCCTTTGTGCAACCCTTTGCTCTTTCCACGCACAAAGCGCCGTAATCGATGATTGCTTATTTTTTGCACAGTTTGGTGGTTGATCATGGACTTTAATCGCCGTCAGAGGATTATGAGTGAAATAACGCGAATATAAAAATGAGCAGAACCGTGAAGAAGATAAACAACACTGTGGCATTGAGTGGTAATTATTTACGCTCGCTTTAATATTGTCCTTCGATCTTTTTTAGATATTATAATTATTAAACTTTCGTTTGCGTTTGCTACGATAGTAATTATAGTTCCATTATTTATCGATGCATAGCGACTCGTTTCAATTTCACGATTGGTGCTGTAAGAATTTATTCTTAAAATTAATATATTTTAAATTAGTTTAGATTTATTTATTATTAGACGAATTAATTAAATCCGGAATTAATTTTTAATTTTCCAATTAAAATAATAATTTTAATTAATAGTGTCTGTGCTAATGTCCAAGATTTTGTTTTATTTTATATTTTATATTTATATTTTATATTTTCTAATCAGTTTTATTACGACACACGTTTTATCGTTTAAATTTCGATTTACTATAAAAATATTTCAAATATTTAAAACATATCCTAACCTAACCTAACATAGTAACGGAGATGTCTAGACGTTTTATTTAACATGTCCAGCGAAAAGGAGTAAAGAGAATAGGAACGAAGTTTATAGGAAAACAATAATTGATTGTTCTACGTTATTAAATCTTTAAAATCTTCTCCGCAATGGATTGATGAGTCATTGTTTGAAATGAAGAGACCACAACCTTCCAGCCTGGTGTTTCTTACGATCGTATAGACTGCAGATTATACAGATTGTCGTGCAATGGATACTGAAATCCTTGGAAAGTAGTATCAATTGTCCAGGAATCCGGTGATGCCTACTCCGATTGTGTCAACAAGGAATATATTACGTCTATCGAATTTTTCCTATTGGAATATGATACAGCAGATGATTGTATTTGCATAACATCGACAACAGTATTTAGGTTGCAATTTTGCGATTCCCATAACATAAATGGTTATAGTAAAATAGAAGACAACTCGAGATATCGACGTTGAAATATTTTTAAATTATTTAATACACGACATACCTTATAATAAAGATATCTTAGTGGAAAAATATTTTAAATTTTTAAAAGTGAAGGAAAATGTAAAATTTGACACAAAATTATGAAAAAGTATTGCGAGATTCCTAGTAATAGGTATTAAAGGAATGGGAGAAATAAATGTTAAACCAAGATATGTAAAATATCGTGGTATTTCAGTGTTCATATTTAATTCCTGCACAATTAATAGTAAATCAAATCAAATATGAAATTTAAAATACTAAACTTCGGAGTCTCGCAATTTATTTAGCATAATGATAAAATGCATTGAAAAATGGACGATAATCGGAAAATATCATGGATAATAGTGTTTCATAGGAACATCAGTCAAAGTAATTCGCGAAAAAGAGCAAGGGAAATGTTCTAAACGAAAGTAAGCTATTTCATAATTATTCTGTACTCGGTGCAAACAGGCAAAATAATGAAAATGGACACACGAAGTAGTCGAGAGATATACTAAAGCTTAGACCAATGGGGATATTCACTTTGTTACTTTGAACAAATAAATAGAGACCATCTTTCAATAAGGAAACGTGCATTTTCTCTGATAAATGAAAACATTCGAGACAATGGTTTGATAAAGATGAGCATGCAAAACGAATGCTTCATCCAGAGAAGATAATTGAAATGACTGGTGTGCATCTGTGAGACTTATTTATTATCGGTGTCTATAAACTGGAATCACAACAGAAATATATGACAAAGGATCAATACTTGTCTGATTCACTTGTTGAAGGAATTAATCACACCTTCGAATATGTTTTATTAGATAATTAATCATTATAAACGGTTAACCCTCTGCACTCCTAATGTTTTCAATTACCTTTTCAAGAATTCCCTGTTATTTCAGGTATTTTATTAATCGGGTAATAAAATTCCTACTGTTGAATATTTGGAAATGCACGTAATCTCTAGATTATGTATCGTATGTCTCTAGATTTATTTCATTCCCTTTGTACGTTTAAACAAAATATTTCTCGCCTTATTAAGATGTATACACGACGAAAATTTCGTATAAGCTTTATGTACTTCAGAGAATCTTTTCAAAGTCAACCCGCAACAAATAAATAAATAAATAAATAAGTCTACCGTTATTATTTTCACAAAAATCAATAGTAGTGAAAATTTAATTGGAAAAGATATTGTACACACCCCAAATCTAATCCTAACATTCTCACAGTAGTACCAAACATAAATTCAAGCAGAACATTGTGGAAAGTGAAAACAAGAGACACTAATATTTTCACAAAACGAACAGCAGCGAAAATTAAATTTAAGAAAATATTCCCATAACCGAAACCTAAACTCTACATTCTCTCAGTCGCATTAAATAGAGATTTGAATATAAATTCAGAAATAATAATGAAAACAACAGCGAAAATTGAAAACAGGAGGCATGGAATTCTCTAAAATCAGTGAAAATTAAATTTAAAAAATATTCCAACACCCCAAACCTACCCCCTACATTCGCCCAGTCATATTAAACATAAATTTAAATAGAAATTCGGAAATAGCAATGAAAACAGGAGGCATTGATATGAGAAAATTAATAACAGTGAGAATTAAATTTAAAAAAATATTCTAACATTCAAAACTTAACCTGCAGATTGTCCCAGCGATGGCAAAGGTAAATTCGAAGAGAAATTGGAGGAGAAATTGGAGGAGAAATTGAAAGAGACCGTAGAGGAAAGCGAAAACACGAGGCATTGCCTAAAACTCGAGATTTTATTCCGAAGGCAGCCAGGTGTCGTTGCCATTGTCGTTACAATTCGCCATCGGAATATGAATGACTGGCGTGGAAGATCGGCGACAGGAAATGCGCGCGACCTTTCGAACCAGTCAACGAGAAAAATTCACGTCTGCGATAGAAACATAAATCGCGAGTGTTTTGTGCGTCTCATTACCAAGCCCATTGACAAGTGGGCGATAAACAGAGAGTACAGCGGAGAATCTAGCGGCAGCTGCGGCTGCACGAGTCGAAGGTGAATGACCTCTAAAGAGAACTATACAAAGTAAAAAATCAGTGAATGCGCAGCCACGAATGTGGTTATCGACAGTTGCAGGAAAATCGAAAACGATACACCCCGTGGAATTCTCTGCACAAACGTTTACATTCGGAAGCCATTTGGAATAAATTCTTAGCTAAACTACTGCCATTCGGGTACCATTTTATGCATTATTCCTATCCGTGACTATTCCAGCAAGTATTTCCGAATCGCTGACATAAATTTCCTCGAATTATGACAGGAAAAAGGAAAGAGGATCCTTGCAAGCTAGATCCGAAAGGAAATGATACGATAATTGAAGTTCCTTTTTGCTCTTATTACATACG